GAAAAAACTATTATTTAGCCATTGAAATGTCATGGCACTCTTGTGAAAAATCAGTTAACTACAAACAGTCTCTGGTTGCCAATTCTAATTTATCATCAAGTTAACTTTATGAAAAGGGTTAGGCTTGCATCTGATGATTCAGATTTTTTTTTTTTTTTTTTAGCACCATTAGTTGAAAAAACTATTATTTAGCCATTGAAATGTCATGGCACTCTTGTGAAAAATCAGTTAACTACAAACAGTCTCTGGTTGCCAATTCTAATTTATCAATCTGTGTCTTCATGCTGGTATTACGTTGTCTGATAGTAATATAACTTTCAAGTAAGACCTGGTGGTAGGAAGTGTATCTTTTGTAAGTTTATTTTTTTCCCAAGGTTATTTTGGCTATTCAGGTTTTCTTTTTCTCTGAATGAATTTTAGAATCAGCTAGTCAATTTTTGCAAAAAATAAAATGAAGTTTTATTAGAGATTACATTGGATATAATTAGGTTTTAATCAATTTTGGATGTGCTACTATCGTAACAATATGAAAAGATAAGGCTTGCATCTAGATTGAGATTTCTTGTTTTTGAACTTGGGACATCTTTCTCTTTATTTAGGGCTTTTTAATTTTTATTTATTATTTATTTTAGTGATGTTCTGGTAGTTTGCATTATACAAATCTTACCTGTCTTTTGTTAAATTTTTTTCTTTTTGGAACTGGGGATTTAACCCGGGGGTGCTTTGCTACTAAGTATATACCTGACCCTTTTTTATTTTATTTTTTTTTTTGTTTCAAGACAAAGTCTTGCTAAGTGGCTGGGGCTGGCCTTGAACTTGTGACCCTGTCTCTGCCTCCTGGGTTGTAAGGATCACAGATATGTGACACCATTCCCAGCTTTTGTTAAGTTTGTAATTATCTTATTGGTTTTGGTGCTGTTCTAAAGCGAGTCTCATGTAAGCGCATTTGGGTTTTGCCTGTTCTACCACTGTCCTCCTTCGCCTGGAGTGTGTCGGCCATGTCATGTGGCTAGTGACCATGTGGGACGGACGTCAGTCCAGTTATTGCTTGGTTTCCCATAGCTCTTCTTTTTCATGTTCCTGTGGTCCTCTGTTTTGCTTTTTGTGTGATTATTAAATAGATGATCTCTATTGTACCATTTTAATTCCCTTTTTGTTTATTATTCACTTTAGAGGTTTTTTCCCAAGGTCGCCCTTGAGGTCAAACCCTCCCTGTAGGAGAAGCATTGGCACAGGCTTGGTGCAGAAGGAAAGCAGGGGACAGGAGGGGACACACTGGGGTGATCTGTGTTCTGAGAATGGCATGTGTTGGTGGACTGATCTGTTAACCTTGGTGGAATTTGGTCTTTTACTTAGTAAACCTCAGTCCTTTCTCTGCTTCACTGTTGTGCTTCACAGATGCTCGAGTGGTAAGATGTCTAGTGGTTATGCCCAGCCTTCCCTCTGGACGCGGTGGTGTGAGGGGTGGGTGCCAGGGACCACTGCCCCTGACAGCCTTGCTACGCAGCTCCTGACCACCTGCGCCCTTCTCTGCCTTCCCAGGTATCTCACTCCCTGCTGGGTCTGAGGCTCCCAGGGGCCCCCTTCCTGGTCTGCAGGGACCTCCAGGACCAGCGCTCTTGTCCCACCTCTCCTGTGGGCACCCAGCAGGAGGGAGCAGCCTGCTGCTGAATGCACATCTACACAGCAGGACCCCAGGACCTAGCAGGAAGGTACTGCGCTCCGCCCCTGGGACTTCTCACAGGTAATTCTGAATTTGGGAAGTAAATGAAGGTGTGGAAACCTTCAGCTGCTCCTCTGAGAGGAGTCTCAGCCGTTGTTGGGAGAGAGTGAAGGCTGTCTGGCTGGATTTTTCCATCCTCTTACCCAGCAGTGCCCAGGCAGATTCCCAGCATGTCTCCTTGAGAGAACTTTAAGGAACACCCTCAATCCATTCAGCTGTTGTGGAATTTGTGCTTTGCGAAGATTTCATGAGTCCTCCTTTTCTGCTCTTAACAAGCAGGTGAGACTGACATTGCTAATCTCATGTTGCAGACCGGAAACAGATGCAGGAGGACAGAGATGTATCCAGAGTCTCAGGGGCTCATTGATTGAGTGAGAACATGTGGCTTAACTCCCATGTGTGCCTCGCCCTGTTCCCGGTGCTACACGCAGTGAGCACAGCAGCACAGGTGCCTGCTCTTGTGCAGACAGTGCAGCTGGAGGTGTGAGTGGAGCACAGGATGCTGGGTCAGGCACAGAGAGGTGAGGAGCCAGCAGAGAGCGGGCTGAGGTGGGAGAGAGAGCAGTAACCTGGCATGTCCTGTCCTGCAGCCACTAGGGGAATTCTGGGTTTCAAGGTGGAAAATGTGCGTGGGGTTTTAAGCAGAGGAGGAGGGGAATCTGCATTCCACCTTAACAGTCTCATTCTGGCCTCTGGGCTGGGAACTGCACGGGAGGGGTGGGGGACAAGAGTTGGATCTGAGAGACGATCTTGGAGGCCGCAGGAGATCCACTGTGGACAGGACGATGGAGACGCGCTCCTTGGTGACTGTGAAAGTAGAGCAAAGTGGTCACTTTCTGGAAATGTTTTGAAGACCGATCCCTTAAGATGGCCCGATTGAGTGGGTGTGGGTGTGAGAAAAAGAGGAATAATGGTGATGCCAAGAGGTGGAGCTCCAGTGAGTTTCCGGAGTTGGAACCTCCTGAGAAGGGAAGGGCTGTGGCCAGAGAAGGTCTGGTGACAAAAAGAGACTAGGAGATGGGATTGGAACACATTGGGATTGAAAGGACCCAGGACACGCAGTGGAGATGCTGGGTGGCCAGTGGTCTCCAGAGCTGATGTCTGTGCAGTCGGACAGCGATGGGAGTCTGGCCAGTGGCTGGCATTTGAAGGAATAAGATCAGAAGGTCCCGAGGGATGGAGGAGTTAAGGAGGCGGGAGCAGAAGGGGGGCCAGGCCAGAGAGGTAGGGAAGCCAGAGTGTGGCTTCTTGGAGGTCACTTGGAATCATTTCCAAATGGAGGGCGTGAGGGAGCTGTGTCCAGGTGCTTGTGGCCCAAGAGGGCTGGGGACCAGTGACACTGGGAGCCTGCTATCTGGGTCACTGGTGGTTTGGGCGTGGATATTTTTGTCTGGTGGCTGTGGCTGCACAAGCCTCATTGGAAGGCAGCGCCACTGGGAGGAGTTGGAGCAAGAAGGTGCGCAGGTGCTGAGCTTCGGTTGCCAAGCAGGGCAGGAAGGAGCACCATTTGGGGTGGAATTGGTGGTGAGAACCAGTCGGGAGAATGGGTTTAGTTGGGAGCACTCAGCCCAGTGCTGGAGAGGTTGAGTGACGTCTCAGCGTAGGACAGAGCCCGACGAAGCCTCCTTGTGCAGGAGGGAAGTCGGCTTGCGGGAGGGTGAGTGGCTGACTTCAGGAGAGGCACGGGGTGACTCCAGGGAGGGACCCAATGGAGGATATGTGGTTGTCACTTGGAGGGGAAGGTCCTCTTATGGTTGCTTGTCTGTTCTTTGTGAAGTAGTCACCGAGGGCCACTGAGTTTGCAGACAAGAGGCAGGGAGCACACCAGAGCTTGTGGCTACAGATTGAAGGTCCCGTGCAGGGGATTGTGTCCTCCCCTGACAGCCAGCTGGGGAGGTAAAGGCTCACCCTACATCAGAACGTGGTTGAGGCAGAGTGAGGCTGGCTTTCAGTGTGCAGGCGAGAGAGGACACTCCTCACAGTGGGGACGGAGCAGGGGCAGCGAGGAGACGGCACGTTAGGCTAGATGGCTGGCGATGCAGGAGGACGGTCAAGTGCCAGGGGCCGAGGCACGGGGGTGGCTGGGCTGAGGCCTTGGACGTGGTGTGTGGAATTGGGAGACGGTGCATTTGTGGGAGGTGACGGTTCTGTTGTTCCTTCCCCTGGCCCGGCACCTGAGTCCCCCTGCCTGGCGTGTTTTCATTGTGTCCACTTGGGAAGTCTTCGGGCGGCCACTGCACGTACCTACATGACCAGTTTGCCCAGTTGGAGAACAGGGAGTATTTGGCTGCCTGTCGCTGCCCCTCTCGGTGCCGAGTCGCTGTGGTCAGGACCTTGCCCTGGGAGGGGGCTGTCCCCATGGAGGACGAGTACAGCACAGCCTTGTATCTTTTCAATCCCAAACGTGAACGCTGTGGGACTCTCGTGTCCTTGTCTGCAAGGTGCTTGCTGGTCCGGGGGTCCCTAGACTCTCCCAGGTCTGAGGGCAAGAGTGAGCACCGTGGGAAAGAGCCCCGAGGCCAAGTAAAGCTCCCGTTCCTTCCTGCGTCTGCCCACACCCACTTCCCAGGATCCTCCTTTTTGGGATCTGCCTCAAATTGTAAGAATTGTGAAATAGCTTCATATTCACAAAAGACGTAGTCAGAGGCCAAAATACCAGAAAATGACATCCTAGCACAAACAAAGAGATTTTTAAATGTTTAGGCTTGAAATGAAACATATTTCATCATGGTAAACACCAGACTTCTTACTTAGGTGATTCAAGTATCGGAATCAGAAAGATAATTTTTATTTTATTTTTATTATGTTTTTATATTTCAAGTGCAGAATATCATTGGTTAAAAAAGGAAATCTTTGGCTGAGAGACTTTGGCTTGGCCTTGACCGTGCCGGGCCTGGGGAACAGCCAGGATCTGGAGAAGTGCAGCTGCTCTGTGCTCTTCACCGCTCTGTTCTGGGCTGTTGGCCCGTAGGGCAAAGGTCCCTTGAAAGCCCCAGCTAGAAATGCAAATATCAGCCCAGTGCCCTTCCAGTTCTCCACGGTGCTGAGCCACCGACAAGGAGAAATGAGTGATATTTTTAGAAAAGGAAGTGGTTGGAGATGCTGTTCGGAGATGTGATGGACAGCATTATGATAAATAGTAACAGCCACATTTTGCACAGTGAACTCGGTACGTTTTGTTTTTTTGTTTATTTCCATTTTTGAGTGCTCAGGGCCTTTTGGATGGACGCTCATTGCTGGCTAAGACGCTGACCCTTGCTGACTGAGTCTCCTTGGTGCCTACACACAGTGGAGGGTGGGCACCTGCAGAGTGGACAGGAGGTGCCTGGCCCTCCAACCTACATGAAGAGGTCTTCCTCAGGATCAAGGGTAGATGTGGAGTTAGCAAGTCCCCACCACATGCAGGGCTACCTGCCGCTGGATGTGGGAGCAGACCCAGGCAGCTTCTTTCTGTGGAGACAGGAGTCTCTCAGAGTTATGTGAGCAGGCTCAGGAAGTGAACTGCAGCTCCACAGGCCTGAGCCAAGGCCTGAGCCAAGGCCAGAGCACATCTAAGGCAGCACAGCCAAGACCCCGAGCCTGTGAGGGGGAGCAGAGGAGCAGAGCCGGAGAGCTCAGACGCAGTGCTGGGCTACAGTGGGGCTGGAACCCAGGTGAACTTCTGCAACCTCAGGAGTAGGGTGAGCGGCTGAGAGCCACGAAAACATGTGAAGATGAACGAGGGAATTAAAACAGTGTGCTTCGCACAGGTGCATGGGGTGCTGCCGGGCATCTAGCATGAAGAAAAGCAGTCTGACGGCAGCACAGAGACCCCGAAGGACATCTGGGTCACGTGCTTCAAAAGAATGACTGTGTCCCCCCAATTTAGAAACGCGTTTAAAAGATGTTATTCTCCAAAGACTAACAGAGCTTTGTAAATATTTGCATATACATTTACCAAAGACTGTTGTACAGCCTTCTCTCATACTTAGAACTTCATAAGTAATTCCCGATTTTAGTTCCATTGAACATGGCTTTGTTACATATTAATGGGAAACTCATCAGTGTTTTGCCCATGTAGTTTGTTATAAAATGGGTAACACAACTCAGTTACCAATCTCACTTTAATCCTGACTCTAATGATTATAATAGTCTGTTGTATCAGTTGTGTTCCTTAATGTATCTTCCAATATCTTAAAAAGTCTCTCTCTCTCTCTCTCTCTCTCTCTCTCTCTCTATATATATATATATATATATATAATATGTATAAGTATTCATAAAATATAATAAATATAAAAACATTTACTTGAGCTTAAAAACACGGGGAAATCCCCTCTGGTAGATCGTAACGCTGATTGGTATGACCTTGGGAGCCCCCTTTGCCCTTTAGATGACTGGAAAGATCTAAATATGCAAATAATACTGGCAAATGTGAAATGACACATTTTTATACTAAAATCATGTTAAGATTTGGTGCTTCTCCGGGAAGGAGGAGTGGGTTTGAGTGAGTCTTCTACAGTCTTTGAATGTACTTCCCAGAATTCAGGACCTGAGTGAGTCATGTCTTGGAGGTATATTCTCCTACAGATCTGGTGGTTTCTGAGGTTTTCTTTTGTGGGAAGATCTGCTGATTAAGTTGTCAGATGATCACCAAAATCGGTCATTGTTTGATCACTCTGTGATTTGGGGTGTCCATGGGGAAGAAGTTCAAAGCCTTGAGTTTCACTTTTACATTCCATCATCTGTTCCCATTTATGTACTTACGTGAACAAGGGGAAATTTATTTTATCTCTAACAATGAAAAATTGGGACAAAGTTGATCTTCAGTTGGGTCTTATTATAAATGCAAGTGATATTTATCTATTGGTATATAAACATTAAGAGAAAAAATCCAAATCATTCTGTTTTTAAATAAATGTTTGCTTTTTAGACCTAACAAGTATATTATATTGATTTCATCTGTATGCTATTTTGATCAGTTATGTAACATAGTAATTACAAACATTAATTTTATATACAACACCTTATAGTAACAAACTTTT